GACTTATTTAAAAATCTGCATCCGAATGTTGCATTATTTATGCAAAAAATATTCTAAAATAGAGCTACTCACTTAATACACAATGATTGTGAATAGGAATATCATGATCAGCTTTTATTCTGTACATTTTAATGCTATGTTTGTGCTTTGAATTTTTGGTGTATTCTTGTGAGCTTAACAGCCAAGTACCAAATAATTTAAATCTAGTATTTGAACCGGTCAGCATTTTTTGCATGTGAAAGTAATTAAATTTTATTAGGCTGTCTGTGCTGCTTTAACCCACTTTGTGACCAATGTTCTTTTTTTGACCACAAGTAGTGAACTATATCCTGAATGTTTGGCACAAAGTTGTTTTTTTCAAATATTCCACAGTGGATCAAAACCTAAAGCTCACCATATTCCATTATTTTTTTAAAGGCTTCTTCATGCAAGAAACATCATTTTAAACAGGTCAAAATTATTTAGGACCCAGCACATTGATGCACATTTTGATATATAAACATGTCATGGGAAAACTTCTGTTCTTACATCCATATATACATCATTTTTGGTTTACGATTCACAAATAAGCAAAGACTGTCATTAATACCATGTGATATCTCCTAGTCACAAATGATACCAAAAAGAAAAGAAAGTTTGCATACATCTGTAGAAAGATGCATATGTAAACGTTTTTTACCTTGTATCTTTATACACATATATGTTCCAAGCTTTCTTGGAGCTCTTGTTTACAACAATGACTTCAGTCACGGTTCCAAAATATGGATTTAATTTAAGACCAACGAAAGGATTAGCAAAGTAATAACAATTTACTGTGATAAATGTATAATATGTGCCTCTTCCAATAAACTTAAAATTATTGTTTTAATTAGCAAATGGAATCCAACATTTTCTAGATGTCTTATTAAAATGAAATTAGATGCAGGGCAGGGAATTTTAATTCAAAACATTCACTTTCATTGTTGGAGCACATTCCTGAATTAGTTCCTAGATTATTTTAGTAAATGTCCCTGCTAATGTACTTGTAAAATGTAAAATGTAGGGTCCAGTCTTGTTAACATTCCCTTTCAGAATGAGGATGTAGGAAGAATTTCACTTCGGAAGGAAAAATAGGATTGTACACAATGACCTCAAGGATTATTTCCACATGTAATTTAATTTCAATTTCCACATCTCAAAATAATTGACACTGTATTCTTAGTGATTACTGAATATCTACAAAGCTACACAGAAGATCCCTCAGCTGAGGTAACTGCTCTGAAAGCAAAGGTAGAATAAAATTTTACATCTGTAAAGATTTGGAAAATTCACATCTGCTTTGAAGTGTGCCAGGAGTCTCTCTTCTGACAATGCCAACCTCTTCCTCAGCAGCTGTATAAGTAACCAAGATAACTTACTTTCTTCTGTATCACATAAAGTGTTTGCAGTGTAACACTATATCCATAGAGCGAGAAATGATACAGAGTGTGAGAAAGAAGATGGGTATATCTCAATGCTTTGTATATCATAAATTAATGCCTCTAAGTTAACTCTCTGAAGAAGAGTTAAAATTTATTTGTTTGAGAAATAAGCACTTAAACTGATAATGGCAGGGAAGAATTTCAAACAAATTTGCAGTTAAGTGGGGCTCACCCCAAACAGCCGTCCTGGGTTTGCTCCAGACCATTTTTGCTCTCCATCTGTGAAGCTTGAAGGAAAAGACAGTTTTTAAAGATGTTCAAGGGAGGCATTTCTCCATGTGGATACTCAGGTTATACCAACAAACTCCACAGATACAGCAGGGGGCCTTGGATGTAAAATATCCCTAAACACGAGCCACCAGCTGTGCATACTTACCTACTTCTGCACCATCACAGACCATCACTAGAGTATGACTGTGTATGACACCATCATTAGAGTATGACTGTCTTCTTGCCATAGCAGGACACTTGACTCATTAAACTTGGGATAAGTGGTTGGACACAAGAAGCTCACTATCAAGATCCTGGAGTTGCTCTACCCTGTAGTTTCCACCCCGAAGGAGTCAAATGACTTCATTGGGAAGGAGTGGATTAGGTATTAGGAAAAGCTTCTTCATCAGAGGGTGGTGGGCACAGAACAGGCTTCCCAGGGCAGTGGTCGTGGCACTGAGCTGCCAGAGTTCAAGAACTGTTTGGATAACTCTCCCAGACACATGGTTTGAATTTTGAGTGGTCCTGTGTGGAGCGAAGATTTGGACTCAATAACACCTGTGAGTCTCTAACACAGAAAATTCTGTGATTCTAAGAACACCAGCAGCATGTTGGATCTCTCCCCTTCCCTCTGAAACCATCCTCCCCATTCCTCATCCAGAATTCTTATTCCTTCAGAGCCAGAGAGGAGAGGGCAGAGGCAGAGATGGGTAGAGGACATGGAGAGAGGTGAAGTAAGAGGAAAACAGAAGGGACTTAGCAAGCAAAAACTGCTGAATGCTGTTTTTAGATGCTCAGTTGTTTTTTTCATTTGTTTGTTTTTTCACAGATGAGCTCCCTTGCCCATTGCCCCTTATCTTATATTTGGGCATCTAATCACTCCCATATATCCATATGGCTTTTCAGTTTCTCCTGTTAAAGATCAGGCTTGCATTTCTTCAGTCCAATTTTCCAGAGCTACTTTGAATTCTAATCCCAGTACCCTGAGTGACTGAGCCTCTTCATCTCACAAGGGCTGCTTATGTTGCTTGCCTTGTTTTACAAGGGCAAATGTGATCTTCATGGATATGAGTGTAATTTATGCCTCCTATAAAAAATAATCCCTTTTTGTTTCTCTAAATGGTACTGAAATGTGAAGTTAATGCAGAAACACAAGTATGTGAAGATAATGAAGGATGTATTTGCTAAGCTTGGTGGAACATCATTTGTGCCTCATGCAGAGTGCTGAACTAAGTAAAAACTTGATCTGCATCAAATGAAGTGAACTTAACTGACTTCCTTGAAGATGCATAAATGAGAAGGCTAGGAAGCAATGCTGCAGTGTTGTCTGGCTGCATGGACAGTGGGAGATATGAATCCAACCATTCTGGCACCAAGCTCAGAAGCTGAAGCTGATCAGTATACTTAAGTGAACACTCCAAATTGCCTGGTTCTTTTTTTTTTTTTTTTTTTTAAATTTTCAGTTGGATTCAGGTATACAGATAAAACAACTGCTGTGCAGATCTAAACTCCACATATAACCAAAAAAAAAAAAAAGGGAGGTAAAGATTTGGATGTTTCTTGTGCACACTTCTCCAAGAAAGCTCCCTGAAATAGCTTTGTCAAGGAGAAGGTTACAAGGGATAGAAAAAAAGCAGCGTAAAGATCTTTCATTTTGTCTGATACAAAATGCCATATGTTTTTGCATGCTTCGTTAATGCTCCCTTCTTCGCCGCCTACAAATGCACAATGAGTTCAACCTTCAGGGGTCAGCAGTGCTCAGCATATCTATGTGAACTGAGCTTGGAGAGTCTGCGGGGACTGTCGGATAAGAGCTGTCGGAATGGGCTGAATATTAATTCTGCAGTTTTAGGTTGGACAGTTTAGAATCTGAAAGCCAGCTAGGTAAATATCATCCCCCATCTTGCTGAGATGTACAAACGTTGCTAACCACCCAGACAGTTCTCTGTTGGGAAAAAAAAAATAAAAAATACTTCATTCAGAGGGTGCACTTGGATCGTATTCTTGTGTATCGATTTGCTAGAGTATAAAATTCTCTATTTACTCATAGTTTTGAAATCAGAGTAGCTTTTTTGGGCTTTCCAGTGCAGAGCATCCTGTGTTTTGAGCGATAGCATTCATTGTTGGAAAGCTTAATGCTATCAGACTAGCTGTACGTGGTCTGGAATGAAGGTTGCTAAATGCATCAGTTTTGACTGCTGTACTGAAATACAAGCAGGGAGAAGAGTCTGCTTCACTGTCTCTTTTTTATGCCCAGTGGTCTTTCATACAGGGTTCTAAATTTTAGTCTGTGAAGATTACCTTCAAATTAGAGTAAATTAGAGCTCAAGATTTAGAGTGCAATGCCCTACTCCACTAGAAGCCTACCGATTTAGATGCAAGGGAGCACAATCTTTACAGCTTTAGACTTGTCTTAACAATGCGCTGTTTATGGACGCTGTTTAGCATACATAGGCATACATGCATGCAAAGCTGAGAGGCTGAAGTGAAATGACTCAAACAGTGGATTTCTTCTGTTACAGCATTAACATTACTGCTACTTTAAGCTTTCTTATTCATGTTAAAAACAGTGGACTGAATAAAGGAGAGTAAGAATTGGAAAGGATATGAAAATATAATGACGACAGTATAATAAATTACTGCTTACCATTTCCTGAGTGTTTGCAAAATCTGCCTCTTTTGAGCTACACTGTACCAAAAGCATTATAATATTAATCAGGACAATACAAGGGATACATATTTCTATCAAAAATGACTTAAGGTAATACACATTCTTGCTCTCTAAAGGCAAAAACTAAATAAACATGACTTTTTTCAACTGACTGAAACTGTACAAGATACACTGGTAATACATGTTTATACATGGTTAAAAATACAGCCTGAACCTTAGCAGCCTGTGTCTTGCATCTAGAATTTTATCAAATGTAGAATAAACTGCTCCGCATCTAACTCCAAATCACAGCAATAACCCTGAAGTTATTTTTATTTGACCTCAAATGAACATAAAAACAAATTTATAGAGCAGCCATTTCTTTTGCTATTTCTGCAGCATCTGTCAAGGCACTGGCAGTACAGCCTCAGTGCAGAAAGTGTTAGTGCTTCTGAAACGTATTATTAGTGTAAACCTTGGCCTGGACTTGACTTTATTTTATATTTTATGACAGAATGTCAAAACTACGTCGAGATGCATTAATGTAGTCACTGGAATGAAAATACTTCTAGTCAATTAGTGTTTGATCTAATACAGTTAGCTACACCACTCGGTCTTCAAGCACTGACACTCTTACACTACAATCTGTCTTTCATCTATTACATGGAGAGGTGACTTACCACAAGGGAGTAACAAATCTTGAATCCTGGTTTAGCCACAAAATAGTCATCGGATTTGAAGGTTATCTTTATCTGATTTGTTCTTGATGTTATTCTTGGAGGTACTTCCTTGTGCCCACACCACCGTCCTCGTATAACTGTGCTGGTCTCTGATAAATCTTCCACTTCCACAAAGTCATACCTGGGAACCAATGCAAAGAATTAAGTTTTGCTGATGGTGGTTCAGTTGGTGGCTGCAAACAGACAGGGGCAAAGCTGAAGATGAACTGACAACCGGCCCCTGTTCTCTGCTACAAAACACCAGGCTAAATGTTACACATGGCAGACACGCTCACTTAGCTCATAAGATACTAAGCTGCAAGCAACTGCTTGAGTGCCCAAATGGCTACTTCTGGTACTTCTCGAGCATGACAGGCAGTATTTTCAGCCATGTTGTATTAGCGATGTGAGGCACTTAGACGTGCTTGGTACACAGTAAACACAGGCACTGCACTTCATGTGGTGGATAAATAATTTAGAGATCTGATAAGATATAATTTGAAGTAGGCTGCTCAAGCAAAGCAGCTGCAAGTGCTTGTTCACTTGCTGGTGGTCCTGAACTCCCTGCAGCCTCTGCTAGCTCGTTTGCTGTGCTGGGGCAGGAGTCAGGAGATGCCAGGGGAATGGGGAACAGGACATGGTGATGAAAGGTGATTGTTAGGATCTCTTCGTAGGTGGTAAGATGATCCCTGTTGTATCATTTGGAATGACATGTCAGGCTTTCAAGCAGAAAATGGGGACTATTCTGCTGTTTTCCTGAGTGCTGTCAGCAGGAAAAAGCATCACCTCTTGTCTGCACAAGGTCACACCTTGGCCAGGTACATCCCTGGTGGTCCTGAGCCTAAACTTGGCTTTGACAGGAGCAGGAAGCACCAAACCCCAGGGATGGGAGGGCACAGCAATGGCGTTTGCTACCACAGCCTGCTTGTTTGTGGGCTTGGGTCATCTACTGAGTTCATTTATTGAACTGGAGGTAAAAAAAAAAAACAAAGTCAGAGAACAGAGTCCTGATTTAATTACATCTATGAAAAAAGCAGTCCCTGGATATCTGTGGAACTAGAAGTAAGGCTCCACACACTGCAGCCAGCAAGGGAGAGGTGATGACAAGGTGGGCAGGCTGAGTACAGGCAGGAAAGACAGGGAGAGCTGCCATCTCCACAGCAATGCTAGGCATTAGAACATTGGAGGTCTCCACTCAGGAAAAGCTCTTATTGCCAGACCACATGCTCCTTCCAAAGAGGGAGTTTAAGACTGTTAAATAACTCTTACATGAAGCATGATGACAAAGAGCTCTCCATGCCCTGGGCCTGAGGACCAGGCGCCCGCCTCTGTCCCAGCTCACAGGAGATGAATAGCTCTGTCATAACAGCCTTGCTTTCCTTTTTCTGCTGAGAGCCCATGTGAAAAAATCCAAGTACACTGCAATTTGAGAATACCAGCCCTGCTGCTTTTACATCCACAACCCCCAAATTACATAGAACAGAAAATAACAGATTTGCCGTAACTGAATAACTTCATCTGCCAAACCCTGCTGAAACAAATGGCTTTTATGACATTAGAAAGTTATGTTCCAGACAAAAGTAAAGTGGTCTCTGATTCTCTCCACTGTTGTTGACCAGGCTCTGCTCTCTGGTGGGCATGGACATGGTAAGCCAGCACAGCTCCTTTACCACACATGTAAACTGTCCCCAGAGGTGTTCACAAAACATGCAGATGTGGCACTGAGGGACGTGGGTTAGTGGGCAACATGGGTGGTAGGTGCATGGTTGGACGAGATGATCTTAGAGGTCTTTTCCAACCTTAATGATTCTATGATTCCGTGAACTGCAAGAAAAAATGGGGCAAATCCATGCAGTTCTGAGAAAGCATTTCTGCTTTCAACAGCAGAGGCTTTGCTGCAAAAAACATGGAGGTAGGTGCAATCTCAATTGTTTCTATGCTACTATCCAGAGCTTCAGAAGCTGGTGAACTTAATTGCTTTTCAGGATCATCTCTTATCAAGTGCCTGCAGAAATCTAACAGCACTTCTAGAACAATCTGCAAAGCCTTCAGTATTTTCCCTTCTGCTGCAACAGCTCTGCAAAAATGTACCTATTCACTCCGCAGCCTGAATGAATTTCAATCAGTTCAGCCTAATAGTATGCAAATTACAATAATTAGCATTAATGAAAAATGAAAAGAAAACACTAGGAACTTTCTGGAAAAAAAAAGCGTGAAGTCAAAAGCAAATACAAAAGGAAGCAGAGGCCGAGTTACCCGTCCAATATGCACAGCATTAAGCAAATGCTTGTGTCTCAGTATTCGATTAAAAACATGCCTAGCTGTCTCTCTACAGCAGCGCTGGAGAGATTGTCAGGTACTAAAGCAGAAGAAAGCACTTGGTTTTCAAGCATTAACAAAAAAATTTAACAGGCATAGAGCCATCAGAAGCTGTCTCCCTGAGAAATTCCTTGCTCTGGAAGCAAATAAAAGTTTTCCAGTAACTCCGGGGAAAGCTCTATTTCTGAAAAGAATGTGGTATTTCTCCAGCTTCTATAGACATATGGATTATAGGAGATCTTTGCTTTTCTCTGCATCCTAAATTAGCTGCTCTGGGAAAAGCAGCTGGACTATCTTCCAAAAAGGTCAAAATCCAGAACACCGATAATGGCTTTACTTCCCCTCATTGTGCCACCACCTTTAATGGCTCTTGAAAGAAAATACTTCATCTTTTTCCACAGTAAATTAGCTCTCTGTTTCAAAGACGCAATGATTTAAGGTCAGCCACAGTTTATTCACTATGTAAATATTAACAGGCCACTTCTGTATGCATCAGACTCTCAATCTGGGAAAGCATTTGTGGTGCTAGGAGGTAACTCATTACTTTGCTGCTGATCTCAGACCAGCAATACCCGAGCAGAGCAGAAGCTGCCAAGACAATAAACGTGCAAGGGGAAGAGAGCCAGTTTCAGTCTGCATTCCTTTATTGCTAAATGGAAAGCAAACCTGCAGAAATGATTTTCTCTACTGGTAATGCACAAAATTAACAAAGCAAAAACACACACAAAAAAAACACCTACAGAGGTACCAAGCCCTACAAATGCAAATTAATTGCCAAAGAAGATAAGATAAGAAGGGGCTGGGTGTACAGAAATCCTAACAACTGAGTTCTCCACATAGATAAGGTGAAAATGACGGCATGATCAGGCAGAGAGCTGGACACTGAGACTTGAGCTTTTGATGCAAGCAGCATCACAGCAATCTGGCTTTTGGAGTGCATGGCAATCTTAAGCTTTCTGACGGATCAGATAGTTGAATAAAGGAAATAGAAACTAAAAAATTAAAACAGTATGTTATTTATAGTGTTTTAGTGAACAGTGGCAAGAATCAGCTCTGAGCTCTGCTGTCAGTTTATCCTCCTGGGTTAATCAGTCAGATCAAGCGAGCTCATGGTCACTTTGGCTTAAAAGAGGAAATCGAAAGAACTGATATAGTAGAGTATCATTTATTAGATATACTTGTATGCAGAATATATTGATGTTTGCAGACCTATATTTTATGGTTTTTAAAGAAAATTTGCCAGTGAAGAATAACATTAAATATTAGCAACAATTTGAAGAAAATCACCATATTTTTCAGTGCATTTTTATCTGCCCCTCACCACAATACAGGCATACCTACAAAATACACCTACTGAAAAATATGTTTCTGTCTGGATGAAACATGACAGAGGTGACAAAGGACAAAACCCCATTAATGTAGTACCTGAGCTGTATGGCAGCTGGATTTGAGGATGTAAGTGTGTTGTGTATAGAATGTTATAGAAAAAACAAAACCTTGTACAAACTGCTTCAGCTCTACGATAGTTCAGTTTATGATAAACTCAAAGACAGGTTGGAAGAGGCTCCTGGAAGCCTGATCCTTGAAACAGGGCCATCACAGATCAAGTCAGGGTTATGCAGGTTTTGGCTGGCAATCTCAAGGGAATGGTCAGGCCATTAACCTAGAAGGGAGCCCTTCGCCCTTTGCCAACTTCCACACCAGAGAGCTTGCCACTCACCTGCAGATCTCATTTTCGGGCTCCTCCAGTCCAAACTGATGATCAAAAGCCAGCTGGATCCTGGTGCTCTCCGGGGAGTGAAGCCGCCACGTCAGCAGGAGGTTCCTGGGGTAACTGCTCGGGAAGCGAGGACTGTGGATGCAGCCATTCCCTGCCACACTGATGGTCTCTTCTTTTCGGTACAAGTCTGTGAGGTGATTGCTCTCTGTTAGTAGTCACAACTTGTAGAAATTAGTGTGTTGTTCCAGTTACAGGAAGGCAAAAAACACAACAGTTTATAAAACAGCACAAATTATTTGCATTTAAAATCTAAGACTTCTTAAGACTTTTTTAAGTCAAGACTAAGAGCATTCATTATTAAATAGGAAGTACAGTGTGTAGTCCCCTAATTCAAACCCCGTAAAACAATGAGAACAGTTCTCAACTCTATACATTCTTTATTTTATGATAGGTATATAATCACTTTTACAACAATATTGATTTTATAACTCACGTCCCACCATTTTGATTTTAAAACAGAATTTAAAACTTTAATAGACATTGCAAACACGAGAACAATCAAGTGAGGCAGAATCAGTTAAAAAGGCAAACAACGCTGTTTCCCAAATCTGGTGCTGTGGGGAGAGATGTTCTCTGAGCAAAGCAACAAAAGCAACAAAACAGGGATTCTAATTTGTTTACTGGACTTAAGTATTTCCTCGCAGAAGCATCAACACAAAACATGCTTACACCAACAAAACTGAAATCAGAATCTGGCCCACCAACCATGTTCTTGAGTAACTTCTAGACAAAGAGCCAAGCCTTCACTTAATTACAATTCCAAAACTTTTGCCTGAGCAAGTACTCAATTGTTCCTGAAGTTTACGTAAAGCCTCAGCTGCTGTAAATCCCTGACTCCAAGGATAGCAGGAACTGCGTCAAGTTCCACCTCCAGGTCACAGTGTCTTCTCAACTGCACTATGCACTTGCACCACCCAGCTACGATCACTAGTAGGACTGGGCTTCCAGCACCAGCAGTTGGCAAACAGCTGGACTTCTGTGCATTGTCAATTCCAGTGTGGTGAAATTTCAAAGGTCAGATCGTTTCAAGGCGATGCACAATTTCCAGTTAAGGTATTTGAAACTGAGCCTCCATGTGTGAAATAGTTATCTACACATCCCTTACCATGAGTGGAGATCCTGAGCTGAGCTCCCTCACGTCACATCCAGTAGGACTTACACTCTGGCAGGTCCTGACTCAGCCAACCCCACTGAACAAATTTCAGCTAACTAGTAGAAACATGGACACTATCTTGCATATGAACATCTAGAGCCTTGTGACCTCACCTTAAACCGAACATCCACATTTCTAAACTCTTTAAATATAATAGATGTATTTGTTTCTTAAGTACCTTTGGCAAACAAGAACCCAGAGAAACGCTGCAAATTTCATGGTAAGTGAAATTACTTTTCAGGTTGCTTTTTGCTGGTTCCCGGTTGTAAATATCTCCCCACACAAAGCTGTAAGCAGAGTGGATGTGTGTCAACAGTTCACTGTACCCTTCCGACAGGGTAATAATTCTAGCTTTCAAACAACCCTCAACTTAGAAGATAAAAAGTCTGAGTTTCCTGTAAAAATCTCCACAGATCTGTTTGTGACATCTATTTTTAAAATGCTTTCTTTCAAGATTAAATGTTCTCAAATCCTAAGATACCCTTTCCAAGGAAATACAGCCTTGACTTCATAGCTCACGGAGCACAGAACTAGCAAGTTTTTGTTCTGTTTTGCTCTGTTTTGGCCAAGTGATTTTGCACTCGAAAAGTGGAAATGCAGTGGAGATAAATACCACCCACAAATGGGTTTTGTTGCAGTTTTTGTCAGGAACATCTACACTCAAGTCTGCCTTTTATTTTATTTATGTATTTTTTCCTGGGGAAAACAACAACAACAAAACCCTTCTGTTTTTAGTTCCCTAAATTTGGGATGAAACAAAATGTCCAGCCAACCCTACTTAGTTTCTTCTGAAATGCTCAGGACATCTGGACTCTGAAAACATGCAGAAAACTCACCCAACAGTATTTAACACAACTATGTCAAAAATGCTCATAAAAAGGGATTAAAATAAAAAAAAAGTTTTGATTAAATCATATTCTGCACTTTTGAACAAAGCAACCATTCCCTAAATCAGAGCAAAACATGGCAGAATTCCTTTGATACCTGAACTCTGCTTTTCTTTCTCGGGCAGCATGCTCTTGCAATTTCCCACTACCAACACCCATCTCACTGTTCACGCTTCTGATGGAAAGGTTCCCCTCCCCAGTCAGACCTAATACAGGCTTTTACCCTGGAGCTGTCAGCTGCTGAGATCAGGGTGCAAGGGACTACACGTGAGCACACAAATGTGCTTATATATATCTCAAATAAAAAATCTGTGCACATTACTTGGCACATCAGTAAAGAAAGTATGCTAACATTGTTCTTGTACCCGAAGCAGACATGTTCTATCAGTTTTTTTATTCAACTTAAACTCCAAATTCAACAGATTGGCGTGTTTTGCAGAATCCAATTGGAACAGGTGAACTGAGAAATAAGGGTGTACATGTTAAAAAATCAAAGCACAGTGACTTATCTCTATCAGAGTAAATGCAGCAATTACGGATTGACTCAGTATAAGGGGAAGGCTGGAGGGAAGCCTGGGGAGAGGATTCTGAACAAAAGCATCACAGTATGAAGATATGGATTTTCCATACAGAAAGAAACTTTGACTGGCAACAAAGGATGTAAATACTGTTTCTATAATTCCTCACATTGCATTGGAGCAGACTCTTCAAGAGCTTTTAAATAGTTTGATTCTTTCTTATTTCTGCCCTCGCATGCTAAATTACAATCTGAAGTGGTGCAGCCAGGACTGGAAGTACTATTTTTTAATAGGATTTTCAGTGCAATTTCACAGAGTTAAATGGTTTAGATTACACACAGGAACACAGCCATCCCAAACTCAGTTTCTGAAGGTTGGCCACTCAAAAATCAAGTATCTGGGAAACAGCTTGAGGAGGTATAAGCAACTCGTGTATTTCTTGTAGCAACTGAGGTATATGACTAAAATAACAAGATCATTCCAAGCAGACAAGTATTGTCATCATCGGGTACACTTGGGGGAACTAATGGAAATCAGATACTGAGCATGGGCAAAGTCAGAAAAAAACAAAACAAAACAAAACAAATTGGTAAATATGGAGGCAAAGGAAAAGGCAGTGCCTTTTTCAAAGCACTGAACTGTCCCATTCTGTGATGCAGGACAATGCAGTATTATACAGTGTCCTGAATGCCACGTAGTAACTGTATTCCATAATGCTTTATGGAATTAAATAAAAGATGACAGTGGGTAATACACTGCCTGTCACATTTACTAAAAAGCATATAAAATCATTTCACAATGAATAAAAGAAAGCGTTAAGTCATAAGCCAAAAAACGGAGGCCGTTTAGGCAATGCACACCAGGGGCATACTCTAGATGGCAGGAGCTAGAAAGACATCCTTACACATGGGAGAAGGAGACTATTTCATAAGAAAGATGAGTGGGAAGGAAGCTAGGAGACAGTGAGGCAATTCCCTGCAGAGGCTGAACTGGCAAGAAGCAACTTTATATTTCACTTTTCTGAACTCTTTTTTCGTCCCCCTAATCCTTGTCCAACTAATTTTAAGCTTATTGGTGTGAATGATAATCCAGCTGACCAAGTTAAAAGAGCAGCTGTATTTTCAGAAGTGTTTGCCTCTGTCCCCTTGCATGGAGATCAGTGAAATACAGGGTGATGTTCAGCCCAGCATGCAGGACATTGGGCTTGTCTGAAGACCCTCTCCAGTGTGTGCACCCAGCACATCCTATGGTTTCTCCTCAGCGTGGGCATGCTCTCCTAATCTCATGCTGCATGAGTAGCAAGACCTGGAAACCACAGTGTCTGCTGTGGATACCTGCGTTTCCTATCAAGTTCTCACAGTGTATCGACACATCCCCCTTAAACCTGCTCCCAGTCAGGACATGTCTGCTACAGAAAGAAGTTTGCTTTTATTATCATCCTTCTACAGACAATGAGCTCCTTCAGTTAAAATCTAAACAAACTTGAAATGCAAGTACTGCTTGCTAATAGCTAATCTGCCATCTGTTCTTGGATATCCACTGAGCAAAGAGGGTCTGTAGGTGTCAGCTACTTCAGAGAAGAATTCAGAGAATGACCTGGTCTAAGAACCAAACCAATAACATAGAATATTTAATTCCACTTTTCTTGCACTTCTGGAGTTTTAGCTTCACTTGCTAAGGTGTTTTTCTGCATGTAAGTTTACTTCTGTTTTTCCCTTGTACTCACAGAAGTTGGCCGACATCAATAAACTCTTGACATGTTGGTAGGGGCTGCAAGTATACTACACTGTGACATGTTTTACAACAAGAAGTATACCCTCTTAAATCCCACGGAACATAACCTGATGAGCTCATCCTCTCTTACAGCTCAGGAGAAAGTTGCTGGAAACCATGTGAAGTTCATTTCACCACTTGTAAAGCTATTTGTTTTATTTCAGGAAGGAACCTTGGGAGTTTGCATGTGGGAGTTTTCCAGATATAACTTTCCTCCCCCACCACTGCAGTCTTTGAAACAAATACAGCGGTCAATGGTTTGCCACCAGTTTTTAAATACATGAGATAACCTTCGGGGAGAATAATAGCTCTTCAGTTCCTTCAGTTGAAAATTAGCCTGATCTAAATAGCTGAATCCACTGAGTGAGAAGCAAAGAACAGTAAAACATTTTTGAATCCAGGCCACAAATCAGTTCATCCTGGGGACAAGCATGCCAAACAAGCTGTATTTATGGCAGACTCTTCAGATATTCATTGGCTTCTTTTTTTTTTTTTTTTTTTTTCTCTTCCATCTTCCTGCAATAAGGAGAAACTTTACTTGTTATCCATAAAGTTCTGTGTAAATCAGAGAAAAAATGACAGACTTCATGGTCAAAATAGTGTATTTCATAGCTGGTCACAGGTTGTTGGGGAGATATAAAACTGTAAGGTCATTTATCTAATTTAAAATGATATGTAAACAATAAATGAATCTTAGCTGGTGAACACAACATTACAAGTCCTCTCGGAATGAGGAAAACAGCATTCCATGGTAGCACCTGTCCTAGACATCTCTGTCTTTTAAGACAGAAGTCATGCACCTAGATCATTTCTG